AGGAAATTTTAGCAATGTGACTGAAATTTAAACTTGCAATTAACTGAAGTCATATACAATTGCGTGGAAACCAGGCCTAAGTCACTAGTTTGCATAAGGTTTGCAATGTTGTCATTGTAAGCAACACCACTAGCATTCTACAGCCAATTGTAAGTGCCAGAAACATGCAAGAAAAACTGTAATTGATAATGGTTTGGGTTGTGTTTGGATAAGTATTTGGGGAAAATAAAAAGCAAAATTATGTGAATGATAAATACTGTGAAAGGGAAAAACATTTTGTCCAACATCACATTTGCTGCCTTATTCAAAATTATATTTACATGCACAGGCTATGTTAAATGGTAATTATAGTACATTGTATTATGATACAACCAGTTTAAATTCTTTCGTGTAATGAATATCTCTTAAATAAGATATACACATAAAGATTAATTTAAACCCCGTTTCAAGTAATGATTTACAAAAAAAATCAGCATCTTTGTAAAAGAACTTGTCCCAAAAGTGAGAGATTGGTTATTCAGAAGTAAAATGTTCCCTTACAAAAAACGTTCGTCTCAAAATAAGTTAGCACTGATAAGTGTAATAAGTCACAATGTTAACTCAATTAAATTTTAAGAAAAACTTAGCATTCAATAACCTTCGCTTATTCCATCTGGGGAGTAAAACAAATTTATGAAAATGTATTGCATGGTAATCTATCTGTAACACTATAACAGCTCTTTTGGACTACTCAAAGTTGAAATAAATAATGTTAGATTGTCAAGATATGCCACTGACTGACAAATACATAGACACTCATAGGTAGTGAGTCATTATTTTAAAGAAACATGTATGTGAACAGAGCTGGTATGATTCAAAAATTATGTTGACTGGAAAACTGATGCTCTACATTGCTGTGCGACAACCACCTTAAAATGTAACTTTACAATGCAGCAAACAGATTTAAATCATAACAAGAAACAAGATACTGAAGCAGAGTTAATGTTTCTGAGGCTGGTTTTCCCTAGCGCATAAGCAGAAGCAGAAGCATAAGCACAAGCACTTGCATAAGCAAGTAAAAAAAAACCCACAACATAAGCATGCGCATAAGCACAAGAAAAATGAACATGGTTTGTTCTGCTTGTGCTTATGCTATGCTTATGTTATGCTTATCCTGTTGTGCGAACGCAAGTGAAATAAGCATAAGCATAAGCATGAGGCGGCCATCTTGATTGTACAGTAGAGGAAAGCTGGTATTGAGAAATTTTGTTAATACTGCACCTGCATATGCTCTTCTACTTATGTTGTAGTGATCTCACTTGCTTATGCTTATGCTTATGATTGTGCTTATGCACTAGTGAAAACCAGCCTTTAGTGATCACACTTGCTTTCCACAGCTGTGACAGCGTTGAAAGCTTTTGATCACTAAAAACACTGACTCTGCTTCAGTATCTTGTGTCTCATTATGTCTACTACAGAGTCTGAAAACAATATCTTTACTTGAAATTTAAATGATCAGTTATCATCAGACAAACATAACAGGGCACTGTAACAACTACAATAACTTTTCACAACCAAGGGTGTCTATCTTCAACAAAGAAAATACACAAATAACTACTGAAAATCCAACCTCCTGAAAGTACTGTACAACTCAGTAGTCTCCAACTGAATGATTACAATGTAAATGCTAGAATTTTAACCACAGGCTCAGGATATTTAAAAATTACAGAACTGATGCAATTTAAGGATTTTTGAGCAAACCATGCAATAATTTAAATGAAAGTTAAGTTACTTATAGAAAGTTTAATTTCTCATCTCTTGCAGCTGCATTCCACGATCAGAATTGGTATAATCCCTGTAAATGAAAAATAAGGTCTTGTTTAAATAAATATTTTAATGAGCATATTTGGGGAACTTTCATAAACTTTTAGAGCAATGTCAAGAAACTAAAACGCTGAATGTTAACATTCAGGAAGAACTGTATCAGGAAGCTTTGCACTTTAACAGTTACACTGTACATTTCTACTACTTTATTTGTCTCAGGGGTACACTGAATTTTTGAGATCCAAGTTTTGCAAATATCTCTAAGAGCCTTCACACTTGTAGGCATTACGTGGATGTTTTAACAGCGATAGCAATCTAGTGCAAAGCATTTCATTTCCCTGCTGAAATATAATGATCTGGTCAAAGGTACAGAGATTCAACCCATTTGTGTATGTGTACCTTGCTTGTTCACCTGACCATGACTTTGGATCAGACTTCTGATGCTCTTCTGGTAGTTAATAAAGTGAATATGACTGATATATTTTTATTTGCTTTGTGGAATCTACATGAGATTGTGATATTAAATTGAAAAAAAAAAGATATTGTTTCTTTACCACGTTTTAGCCATCTGAAAATGTCAAATTTCACTTCCAATTAGGTCAGAAGCTGCGCGAGGCTAGGGCCTGGGACTAGTCAGGCTGTGACGTCAAAACAAGAATGTATGTCAACATATTTTTCGAACCAAACAAATAGAAATGAAGTGAAATATACTACAAATTAGGCAATCAAGTGTACAGTAATTCCAATTTTGGTTCAAAAATGAAAACATTTAGGAAAGATATGTAGACCTGCCAAAGTATTTTCCTTATGTAGATTCCATCACACAGATAAAAAATCTGTCATATGCACTTTAATATAATTAACAAATACCTATGGGCAATCAACAGAATGCAGCTGCAGAAGACATCATGTATCACATTTTATAACAAGATAATGAGATTTTAAGTTATGATAATTTATTTACTATAGGTAGTTTACAGAAGGCAATCTAGGCCAATTTTAATATATTTTAATTCTAACTTAGTTAGCTACAAGGCTTGCAGGAATAAAACATAAGAAAAAAAAATTTATTCATTTCTCAACCATGGTTTCTTTTTTCAGTCCCCTACCTACATGCAGACCGACATGAAGATCTGAACCCAGTTAGACGTTTAAAAGGGGCAATTTCACAGAGGGCAAATTTTGAAACATCTTAACACTGATGGCATGTGCATGTAAACAGCCTCAATAGTCTCCAGTCCTATGCATCCTTGCTCCATTCTTGGTTTACTATGAAGTCTTTGCCATTTGTTTTGGCCTATAGTGAGTAATTTCTTATTGTAATGTTTTCTCTCAATTTAAATGTAAGTTTGTCCATTTCAAACGAAAATATTCAATGCATACCATGATAAAACTTCTGTCTATTTACATTCAGTACATTATTTTAACACTTGAAACCAATGTAATCATGACTAATTTTAGTTCTAGTTTAATTGTTCCCTTATTTTGTTTTTAGCATACTTAAGATTTATTCATTAATTATTGAGCAAAAGTTTTCTTTTTCCTCCAGATTGTTCCAACATTAAACAGCTTAAAAGGGCAATGCTGGTTTTCAGTAGGAATAAGAATTAAAATACAATGTGGCAGACTGATTTTTCTTTCACTTTGCTGTGAANCCTGCATATGCTCTTCTACTTATGTTGTAGTGATCTCACTTGCTTATGCTTATGCTTATGATTGTGCTTATGCACTAGTGAAAACCAGCCTTTAGTGATCACACTTGCTTTCCACAGCTGTGACAGCGTTGAAAGCTTTTGATCACTAAAAACACTGACTCTGCTTCAGTATCTTGTGTCTCATTATGTCTACTACAGAGTCTGAAAACAATATCTTTACTTGAAATTTAAATGATCAGTTATCATCAGACAAACATAACAGGGCACTGTAACAACTACAATAACTTTTCACAACCAAGGGTGTCTATCTTCAACAAAGAAAATACACAAATAACTACTGAAAATCCAACCTCCTGAAAGTACTGTACAACTCAGTAGTCTCCAACTGAATGATTACAATGTAAATGCTAGAATTTTAACCACAGGCTCAGGATATTTAAAAATTACAGAACTGATGCAATTTAAGGATTTTTGAGCAAACCATGCAATAATTTAAATGAAAGTTAAGTTACTTATAGAAAGTTTAATTTCTCATCTCTTGCAGCTGCATTCCACGATCAGAATTGGTATAATCCCTGTAAATGAAAAATAAGGTCTTGTTTAAATAAATATTTTAATGAGCATATTTGGGGAACTTTCATAAACTTTTAGAGCAATGTCAAGAAACTAAAACGCTGAATGTTAACATTCAGGAAGAACTGTATCAGGAAGCTTTGCACTTTAACAGTTACACTGTACATTTCTACTACTTTATTTGTCTCAGGGGTACACTGAATTTTTGAGATCCAAGTTTTGCAAATATCTCTAAGAGCCTTCACACTTGTAGGCATTACGTGGATGTTTTAACAGCGATAGCAATCTAGTGCAAAGCATTTCATTTCCCTGCTGAAATATAATGATCTGGTCAAAGGTACAGAGATTCAACCCATTTGTGTATGTGTACCTTGCTTGTTCACCTGACCATGACTTTGGATCAGACTTCTGATGCTCTTCTGGTAGTTAATAAAGTGAATATGACTGATATATTTTTATTTGCTTTGTGGAATCTACATGAGATTGTGATATTAAATTGAAAAAAAAAAGATATTGTTTCTTTACCACGTTTTAGCCATCTGAAAATGTCAAATTTCACTTCCAATTAGGTCAGAAGCTGCGCGAGGCTAGGGCCTGGGACTAGTCAGGCTGTGACGTCAAAACAAGAATGTATGTCAACATATTTTTCGAACCGAACAAATAGAAATGAAGTGAAATATACTACAAATTAGGCAATCAAGTGTACAGTAATTCCAATTTTGGTTCAAAAATGAAAACATTTAGGAAAGATATGTAGACCTGCCAAAGTATTTTCCTTATGTAGATTCCATCACACAGATAAAAAATCTGTCATATGCACTTTAATATAATTAACAAATACCTATGGGCAATCAACAGAATGCAGCTGCAGAAGACATCATGTATCACATTTTATAACAAGATAATGAGATTTTAAGTTATGATAATTTATTTACTATAGGTAGTTTACAGAAGGCAATCTAGGCCAATTTTAATATATTTTAATTCTAACTTAGTTAGCTACAAGGCTTGCAGGAATAAAACATAAGAAAAAAAAATTTATTCATTTCTCAACCATGGTTTCTTTTTTCAGTCCCCTACCTACATGCAGACCGACATGAAGATCTGAACCCAGTTAGACGTTTAAAAGGGGCAATTTCACAGAGGGCAAATTTTGAAACATCTTAACACTGATGGCATGTGCATGTAAACAGCCTCAATAGTCTCCAGTCCTATGCATCCTTGCTCCATTCTTGGTTTACTATGAAGTCTTTGCCATTTGTTTTGGCCTATAGTGAGTAATTTCTTATTGTAATGTTTTCTCTCAATTTAAATGTAAGTTTGTCCATTTCAAACGAAAATATTCAATGCATACCATGATAAAACTTCTGTCTATTTACATTCAGTACATTATTTTAACACTTGAAACCAATGTAATCATGACTAATTTTAGTTCTAGTTTAATTGTTCCCTTATTTTGTTTTTAGCATACTTAAGATTTATTCATTAATTATTGAGCAAAAGTTTTCTTTTTCCTCCAGATTGTTCCAACATTAAACAGCTTAAAAGGGCAATGCTGGTTTTCAGTAGGAATAAGAATTAAAATACAATGTGGCAGACTGATTTTTCTTTCACTTTGCTGTGAAAACTTTAAGTGGCAACTATGGCAAGTGATTCACTTGCCTGCCAATGCAGCTCACCAGTATCTCGACTAGAAACTAAGCACTATGCTGATTTTTTTGCTTTGAAATGTCACTTCTAGACTAATCATACCAAGTTCATAAACATCAGCATTACAGCATTTCTCGTGTTTATCACACATCTGTCACATACAGTAATTTAGCCAGATTGTAGTCATTTTATTGAAAGTAGAAAGCAAGGAATATATTTTTGTTCACAGAAATGAAAAACTTACTTTTCCCATAAACTCCTACCAAAATCTTTCAACCAAAAAAGGTCAACAAAGCATTTCTAACCAAAAAGTTGTCCTTAGTGCTTTCCAGCCACAATTACATGTAAACTTGAGTACCCCCACCCTCTTTGGGCTTTATACACAAACAGATCTAAATATACACTGTACTCAGTGCTGAGAAAGTGTTACCATTCTATGCTCATCCAATAGTAGTATTACATTTTATATTAATAGTAACATGTGTTGTTCAAGAAGATCCATGTTCAGATTTATTTTGTTTGACCCTCACACTGACCCTTCAGGAAATTCTGGTTCACTTCATATGTTCATTTAAAAATCATGTCTTTTGACCTCCCAGCTCCGCCCCAAAATTTCCACAACTTTTCTTGGGGGCTGGGACAAGGGCACAAGTTAAGCTATTTTCTAGAATGGCAAAAAATATTACAGGTACATTACCTTTTTCCAAACTTGAGGTGAATGATCAAGAAAGACAATCCCAGAACAAGGCAGAGAACACCAACAGTGATGTATGCAATGCCAAGGAATGGGTTCTTACCACCAATCCATGAGGTGGTACTCAAAATCACTCTTTTCTCACCATCAAATGAAGTCACTGGAAAATCTGAGCACATTGAAGTTAAGTAAAAGAAAATAACTTTCAACAAATACTGTACTGTAAAATCCCAGTTATACAGCATAAGTGGTCAATTTTCTGCTTACATGTGTATTTTCTCAGACATAACCCTCTGCTGTATCTTTCATACTTCCTTAGAGTGAGATTTAATTATAATTGAGAAACTTCAGTATACATGTACATGTTATCTGCTGAAACAAGAAGACATCGGCAATAAGGAAACAGGGATTTCTTTAGAAATGCCCCTTGAAAAATGTTGAAAATGGTATTTCCAAGTTTCGAGATTTCAAAATTCTCTAAGGGAGGGGAAGGTCCCAACCCCCCTCCCCTGCCAAGGAATCAAGCCTCAGTGATCAGATAGCCAACACCCTTGACGTCTGCTTATACAGCCACCCCCTTTTTCTGATCAACTTCCTAATTCAAAACTTCATGGCATCCTCAGGGGGTTCATTGAGGACTGGGCACCAGGCAAACTGAGCAGCTGCGAGGAGGATTTTTCCCACCTGGTTTGACCATCTTGCAGAAATGTTTTTTAATTAGGAGGTTCAGTTTAAATAGTTTTGCCTGCCTGTGAAAATCAGTTGCCCTTCTAGTAAAAACAATAATGAAACCCCGCATCCCTGGAAGACATTTTGCACCTCCCAATTAAAATCATGGTTACTCAGAATTGACCTACTTTTAGACCTTAATGGACAGTTACTGAGCTGTATGTAACTAAACTTATTGAAATTCTCTGACAACGGATACTGTAGTTGATATCAAGTTGATAGTCTCCTTCCGGTAGGCCGCTCTCAAACTCTCCTGTGTGCACAATCTTTCGGTAGAGCTTGCGGAATGTTGAAAAGGCTGCTGTTCTCATCCAGACAATGAAGTCCTGATTCTGGAAGCCATTATTGTCTGCATTTTCTGTGTCTAACTCATACACAGGTCTTGGCCAGTTGGGTGGCTTTGTATAATCTTTGAAAGCATCTTTGAGGTTTCCAGAAGGATTCTTAAACTTGACTTCTCGGTCCGACTTCCAAGCAATATCTTTAAATGTCAAATTGACATTGACCTTCTCTGTAGAGCTCTTGAGCCACGTCAATTTAAAAGTGTCTGTAGGGTAAACATATAACAAAATGTGACACATAATAACACAAACAAACAAACGAACAAACAAATATATTGTTATAAACATGTGTCTGTCATGCACTATGAACTGGCTGGCAAATTCCATAATGTTCTACGTATCTGCAACACATGTGCAAAGCAATTTATAGACTTGACATCTGACTGATGAACTAACTGACAGACCGATTGATTGACTGACTGACTGACTGACTGTTTGACTGACTGACTGACTGTTTGACTGACTGACTGACTGATTGACTGACTGACTGACTGATTGACTGACTGACTGACTGATTGACTGACTAATTGACTGACTGACTGACTGATTGACTGACTGACTGACTGACTGACTGATTGAATGACTGACTGACTGACTGACTGACTGATTGACTGACTGATAGACAGACAGACAGTCAAACCTATAGGTACGCAGATCACCTGACTGATAACTTATGACTAAATATGGTACCAGAGTTTTTCACTGTTTGGCTGTGACATCACCATACTGTAACATGAAAAGAGAACACTGAATTTGTACAGGCTATCTTGTAGTATCCTTAAGAAATGAAGGCGTCATGACCACACATTTATATGTTCTTGGGCATTGCAGCAAGTTATTGAAAGAGTGTGCAATACCTCATGGTGGCCTAGTGAAAACATGACAACCATAAAATAGCCTAGACTTGCATATTATATGTTTATGGTGTAAATGCATAGTTACTGAAAGGTACCATTGAAAAGACTGTTTGCAATAGCTCCACAAGGTGCAATAGGGGTGTCATTGACTTTTGCAAATGGATCACAGTCAGATGATACTTTGCCATTCAGTTCTCCATGGAGTTGAAGATCATCTCTGGACCTAACATAGCGCCGGTGGTTCTGTAAATGACAAAGACTGCTTGGTTGTAGTTCAAACACACATGTTATCAAAGTTAGTAACTAAAAGATATATATGTTATTAGATGTTTTGGTGTGTAGTATTGCTGTATATTATTACGAGTTGTGCCGTATTTTGACAAGCTCATAGGGTGAGTCAAAATACAACCTGTCTGGCAAACAGGTTTTCTACTGTACTAATAACTGTACAATATCACTGTATATTTGTACTCATTTCGTGCGATATTTGGACAGTATTTGCCGCAGTTGGATAATAAATAACTATTATTCTTATCTGCCTTTGAGGATGACAGGGAAGAATTTCAGATTACATCCTCAAAACTTAATGATAACTAATCAAGTTAAAACAGGAGATATCTTAATAGGTTCAAGGTGATTTAGAAATCTGATGTACTTGCATATTTGTGTGCTTTTATTTCTCATTTTTCTCCTGTTTTCTGGTGACAAATGATATTTCCAGACATCTTGAAATTTGAATAAATATTCTGCTAGGTAGAGTATTCTTAACTCTCATCTGTGATGAAATATTGTGCAAAGCCTCTTTAGTTAGACCATATACTGTCAAAGCTATTCTATACAAACCTGATAAAAGTTTGACAGGCCATAGTACATAAACACATCTCCTTTAAATGCCTTAGACAGACTAAACTTCACTGTACAGACACAAGTCTTCCCTGTGTTGGTCACATTTTCAAGAAACTTGTCACATCGACCACCATTTGAAGTCTCACAATTTGTATACTCAACATACTTTTCTTGAACCTAACACACAAAAGAGACAATCAACATCATGGCATCAAGGTCCTACAGGCTTAAGGCACAAATAGGTCTTTCATTCATGCCAAATAAAGGACCTCAGCTACATGTACACTCCCTCCACTACCCGACAAATTGTAACATATTTGTTAGGTTCATGTTTTTGATTCTTTTCTAATTCATTGATAAATAAAGAGAGTTAGCATTTTGCATGTCTCCCTTCTCCCTGTCCTCTTAACTTAGAACTCCTGCTTCCCACCATTCCCCTCCATACCTCTCCCTCTCACTTTTCCTCACAAGTTCCTGCTCCCACTTATGTCCTTCAAGTAATCAACCCTGCACACATTATTTGTATCTATGTTACTGGTTTGATGTATGCTATATGCCTTTGGCAACATTAAAAAGGATGCATATCACACAAAATTGTGGTGACAATGCCCAGGAGGGCAGTTTTGCAATCGTTACATGGAAGCTTACAGGATATCATAAGATCATGTTTATCATGATTCCAAGAAAAATAGTTCCTAACACGATTGTTACTAATATAAATAAGGCGAGATATATATTAAACTGCTTTGACAACTTTTTCTGTCTGATATGAAGCAAGTCACTGCTAAATTGAAACAAAAAAAGCTGAAACGAAACGATCAAGCAAAATTTGATCTAACTCCCTGCCTAGTTAACCACTACAAGCTCTGTTTTGACGTACAGTATGAAGAAGGAAAACCTCGGAAAATATAAAACCCTTATCCACCAGCTTATCGTTTTAACATTGCAAGCGCATAAAGGAATAGATTTCTCGCACATAATTTACACAGGCTACAGCAAGTAGACGACTACACTTCAACCTTCAAGTTCATCTTCTGGAATCAATAATTATATCCTGATTCGTCTTCGATCGATAAGAGCTTCATACTGGATCGAATCAGTTGATGATTTTGCAAGCTACTGATGTAGTTTCAGTTCACATAAATACCTCTCAAAAAACTTATAGTACTTACGTTGTCGGATGCGGCCAAGAGAACTGACCCAATGGGTATAAACACAACTCCGATTATGAAAAACAAAGGCAATGCCGTCTTCGCTGTCAGAATAGGTTGCCATGCCTTTAATCTTTGCTGTTTAAAGTTGGTATCTGAAACAAAACAACAGTAACTATCACTAGTGAATTCTGCGTCTAAGTGGGCGAAAAAGAGATCAGAAAGAGCAGTACTTGATGGCTTTTTAGACTTCTTTCGTTCCCTAGTAGAATCCGCCATCTTGGCATCAACTCAAACTGCACCTGCCCCCTTGAAGGCACGTTTTCAAATGGTGCGTTTTTGTTGTGTAAGGGGCTCAAAAGCGAAACAAGTTTGTGCACCCCGGAAGCGCTGGGGACAACCTCGTCGCTAACGTCTGCAAAGGTGCGAGAATGAGTTTGGACGCTGCAGTTAGCGTTTTAACGCGCGCTGTCGAGCTTGATCAGTCACAAAGCTACTCTGAAGCCTTAGTTTGCTATCAGGAAGGCCTCGCTTTGCTAATGAATGTATTAAAGGACACAAAAGATGACGCGACAAGGGTGCACTACCGAGCAAAGATGGAGTCTTACATTGAGCGCGCAGAAAAGCTAAAGACATTGGTCAGGGAACAGAAGGAGGCGGGAACTTTCCACGAGAAAGTCAATATAAAGGAAGGATCGATCGGATATAGCTATCGGCGCGTGTTCGAGAAGTACTTAGAAGGAAATGTAAAGGAAGTTGTTGTGGAAGACCCCTACATTCGAAACGTTCATCAAATTTATAACTTTCTTCGATTTTGCGAGCTTCTTGTTAGCAAGGGAACAGTTCGAGAGATCAAACTTCTAACCAGTAAGTAAAGGATAAATAGGGGGTGATTTTATTCTAAAAAATATGATTCTGATTTTATCCGGTCAGTGTAAAACGCAGACTGCAGACTGCAGACCGGGGGTAAAATGCAGACTGCAG